TCTTCCTAATCAACACTCTAAAAATGCCTGATATGAAGCTCACTTACACAGAAGTTGTGGTTTATGTGTTGTGTAACAACCTCTCATTAGATGAGCAAATAAGTTTCTATAAAGTGTTTTCCTTGATTTTTGGGTGGTGCATCTTAGAAAAATAAACTGATACTTGTTGCTCATAACCATAATTGTTATATACTTTGTGTCAGGTTCCAGATTACGCTGAGGTGATCAAGAAGCCTATGGACCTTTCAACAGTTCTCTCTAAGATCGATCTCCATCGGTATGGGACAGTGAAAGAGTTCCTGCAAGATGTGGATCTTATCTGGCAGAATGCACTTGAATACAACCCTGACAGGGACCCCTCAGGTACACACAGTATACAATACATGCATATTCTTTACATACCAAACTGATGCAGAGATATACAGTGCTAAATTTGATATCAAAGGAATGACATTATGTAACTGTTAAATTCTGTTGTTAAATCTAGCCTTGACCTAACTAAATTCAACCTCTGTGTGCCTGTGCTTGTGTGTGTTTGGCCTCCAGACCGTCAGATCCGCCACAGAGCGTGTGCACTGAAGGACACTATCCATGCCATCATTAGAGACGAACTGGATGAAGATTTTGAGAAGATTTGTGAGGAAATCAAAGCATCACGCAGCACAAGAGGTCAATTTTGTGTGTGTGAGTGAGTGAGAGAGATATAAGAAAACAAACATCTCATGATTAGCCTCAGGGATGCCTTTTTTTAACACTGACATTCTGTGTAAGCCTACTTTTTAAAACAATAACCAGCATGGATAATTTTAGTTACACATGGACTGACTTGACATTTTGAAAACCTTATGGAATATCTTAAACATTTATGCTTGTAAGTTCATGCTGCTTTCATACTTATCTCAGCATTTTCCCCTTTAAAGAACAATGCTGTAGTTATTTTAAGCAAGACTGCACAGTTGCATCCACTTAAACCAGACCTCCAGTTTCATTAGATGGACAGAGCAGTTTGAGAGAGGTAGAACTAACGTTGTTTCTTCTTTGTCTTCCACAGGTAGCTTGACTACCACCCGGTTTGCTCCCTCCTTCTACCACGTCCTTCCCAAACAGCCCAAATCTCCTGCTGAGGCCAAGATCACTGACATGACCCCACAAAGAGATCTGGCTGGAGCCACAGCTGCTGTTACACCCTATACAACTTCCTCTGCTTTTACAACACCTAAAAACACAGGTAAAAACTACTTAGATAACAGTACAAAAAACTATTTACACACAAGAGCTAGATAAATAATTCTGTATCGTATTTTGTACCTGCAGCCCAAAGGAAGAAAAGGAGGAGGAGTCGCTGGTCCACTGGCGTATATGTAAAGAGGAAGTCTTCCTCTCCTCACGTGTCCAGAGATGACATAAAGTTAGGGTCTGATGAGGATGAGGTGGATGGAGACGATGAGGAGGAGGCTGAGAAGGAAGCAGGGGCAGAGGTGACTGAAGGAGAGGTTGATATACAAGCAGGGCCTGCAGAAGATCAGGAAGGTAGTGCAGAGCCCATGATGGAGCAGGAGAGCCAGGATAAGGGGGGAAAAGAGGGGAGGAGTGGAGCTGCTGGAGATGAAGTTATCCTATCTGAAAATGAAAAGAAAGAAAATGACCACTACACACAGCATGAAAAAGAAAAGGTGGACAAAGCTGTCGCAGATAAACTGGGAGACTTAGAAGAAAATGACAAAGCAGTGATGGAGGGAGGGGATGCGAACAGCAAAAACATTTCAGCAAACACTAACAAGAACAGCCTCACTGAGAGAGAGGCAGACCCCCAGGGACAATCCAACACAGCAGACAGAGACGAAACTCGAGACCAAAAGTTAAAACAGACTGAGAAATGTCAAACTATACAACCGGATGAGAGTGATAAGGTAGCGACTGCAGAGGAGATTGCGCTAAACAGTCATGCTGAGCCAATGGAGGTGGAAGCAACTGAAACCTCAACCACAGATGCCTCTGCAGCTGTAAGAGGAGAGGAGGACACAAACACAGGTTGGCAACTACCACTGAGTTCAGCTCTTGACTGTAAAGTGCAGAGAAAATGTGAATGGCAACCCATTAAATCTTAAGCTAAAGAAAATCACTTGTGCAATGTTTCTAGAGATGACAAAGTCCAATTACTGTATTTCTTTCAGCTTTGAGGTTTCAGTGAATATGTGAACAGATCTTTGACAGTGTTTTAAATATTTTGGTGCCATGTGTTTTGTGTCTCAGAGCGGAGCGCAAGGCGATTGACTCGGTCTGTAAAAAGCGCTGTGCTGCAGCAGCAGATGATCGATGTGGACAAAGCTCTGCAGATCCTGGACCAGGAAGTTCCTCCTCTTGTAGTGGACAGAGACAAATTAAAGGTGTGGGTTACTGTTGGTGTCTGCACATGCTCGCTTGCTCTTCACGGGGTTATAATAGTGACCTATCCACCTCTCCTATAGAAGCCCCAATAAAACTAATGACTGAAGTCAAGGCCCTTATTGTGCAATCCTATTGTTTTTCACCTCACATTAGCTGCCTTCAGACAGGCACTGACGATTGGACATTTATACATTCTGAATAAGAGCAAAAAATTTTATCTGCATGAGTCCATGTGAAAAATACAGCAGGAAAATTTCTAGAAAATTCATAGCGAGTCTGGATGACATTTCTGATGCGTAACTAAAATAATATAAATATCTCAGAATGATAAAGAGGTGACAAACATGTAGAAGGCGCAACAACGATGTCAACTTGAAAAAAATAATGAGATTCAATAGCATTTGGTGCAAAGGGTTGATACTGGTGTTGATGTGCTGTGTGATCTGTCAGTGGAATTTATACGCCATGTCCTGCCTCCTGCATGCTCTACCTGTGCCCCCAATCCTCCTTTATTCTTCATATATATAAGGCAAGCTTCAGGAAAATCTCAGGAAAAATTGGATCCAGACATTTGGCATCCAGTGTTTGCCGTTTACATTTCATGTCTTAAAATGGCAGTTTTCCAACTAAAATGTCTCCTACATGTCATGACTCTCTCTGTTGCCTGTCGTCCTCTTTTCTTCAGGAGCTGTTGGAGAGAGTAGTGACCAAGACTGACAGCTTTGAGGTTTACAAGCTGGAGAAACTCTACGCTCTGCTCTGCCAGAGCATTTACAGACACAGAAGAGACTTCAACAAAACAGCACTAATACAGGTTGGTACTGGACTGTACTGATGAACTGTTTGTTTTGTTGCTGTAGATACTTTGACTTGTCGCAATAGGAAAAGCACAGGTACAATAACATTAAGTGTGGCACTCAGGAAGTCAAGCTTGTGAGAACAATAGTTGGGTCCTTGAACAACTCATGTCACATGTTATGAAGAAAAAGTTTTCCATATTTCATTCTTGCAGTGTTGTCTAAGAGAAGTGTAGGAGAAGAATAACTACATGTCACCTTAACATGGAATATTTCTTAATTATATGTATTATTTATGTTATTAACCTGTTGTTCTTTCCTGGTCTTTTTATTTTATCAGGAGATGGAACAGGAGATTGAAGACTTCTGTTAACTTTTCAATGGGAATAGCGTGACCATTTTTAATTGCTATACTTAACATCCTCATCAAATGTGTAAATATACAAACATTAGTTCTATTTTCATAGAAATTGACTGGCACATATTTTTTGTGCTTTAGCCAAAACTTTGTAACCTTGTTTATATTTAATTAAACAGCTTTCCTCTAAATGTTGTTATGTGTATTTTGTGAGCTCAGGACTCAGACTATCTTGTGAATTATCATGTCATACCTGACATTGTGACTGTTCCCATAAACCCTGAGTCATCCCTGACAGTGTGTACAGGACATTTGTATCATGTTTACTTTCTATTCCTGTTTTTCAGGGCATGATGTGGTTGATAATTTAAATCTTAGAATTTAAGTTGAGTGTGACAAACTGAAAGTCCTAAAACATGTATTACTGAATTAACAGCTGCTATAATGAATTATTTTATCATACAGCCCATTCCACCAATTTAAGTGAACAAAGCTGTGTGGTGTATTTTGTCTTTAGAGAGACTGATAAAACCAGTTGAGTGACATTGCTTTAGCCATTTTCAGATGACTGAATAAAAGATGCTGAAGAGTTGACTGTTGGATCCAGGGTAATTGAAGTCTGAACTTCTGAAACTAAGTCAGAATATCATTGTTGGCGTTCCCACTCATCCTGGAAGTTGAGAGAGTAAATTTCCAGTCATGGAAACAAAGTAAATATATTTTACACAACAAAAACACATTTAGTTCTAAGAGAGGATGTCCTCAAGAGGTTATTGTGGATCTAGAAACTAATCATGAACGCTGCATCAATAAAAATGGGGTTAAATGTGTTAACACAAGCACTACTGTTCAATTAAATGTATTTTTACTGATTTCTGTCCTGAGTTGTCAGAAACAACTTTTGCAAAATGTCTGGGTGGTGTGGGAGCCCTGGTTGTGTGCCACTCCTGTCCAAACCCCTCACATGTTTCTGTGTTTTGCACCGATCAGCCTCAACAGATATGCTGGTTTATTCTTCTGTGGTAGTTTTTAACCAGTGAAACGATCTGCTGTGTTTTCATCGTAAAAAAAAAACACTTCTCTAGAGGATCAATGAAAAACAAATAATACAAATAATGTTGAAATAATGAAGTGACTCGCGTCATGAGACAGGATCAGGTGTAAGTGCAACTCCTGTGTCCTCATGTAGCTTCTCCTGCTGCTCTGCCCGGGTCATGTGAGGACACGATGGCACGCAGCCCAGGATCAGCCCGGTGTCACCGCCACAGATCTTTGTGAGCCACGCTTCGTGCCCCGGTTCTTTCTAACTCACACAGAACTACATATGTGTCACATGCGACGCGTTAATGTGCTGAAATCCCGCTCATCTGAGCCTAAAGTGTCCAAACTAAGCGAGCAGCAGGAGTCGCCGGGGAATGACGTCAGGACGTATCACATTGAATGATGACGCCGTTTGATCATTAAAAAAATCTGCCGTTAAAACATATCAGAATTAGGTCAGCGGAGTAAAACAGCGCCGACCGACGCGGCTCACTATCGGTGTGCGTTCGCTGGTTTGACCGCAACAAAGACGCCGGCCCCGGTGTGAATTAAGCAGCACAGCCGGGGAGAAGACACGGAGATGAGCGGTGCTTGTAGCCTCTGCAGACGGGAGCTGCTGTAGCCGCTGGACCGGTCCGTCTGTCCGCCTCCCTCCCTCCCTCCGCCGCCACTCGGTTCTGGGAAACCTGCGAGCCCGAGTAGCGTGAGCGCCTCTGTTCGACCCGGCCACGGCGGGGCTGTGGAGGCTTAGCCCCGGGGACCGAGACGGGAGATACGCCGACACACGGCAGCGACCAGGACCCAGGAAATTAACTCCTCGCCTCGTCTAGACAGCCCGGCAGCAGCACCATGCACATCCCACTAGTTCAGTAAGTTTACCGCCAGACGTGATCGATACTGATGACCGGCCCCGGCTAACACTGGCTACTTGGCCCACCTCACACCCAGGCTACACGCTGCTGCTGCCTCCACACACGTTCATGAATCGATCTAGTGTTGCTGAAATAACCAAGAATTAGCTGCAACACACCTCCTAATGGTCGTGCTGCTTTCTGTCCACGCAGCTGTCTGTGCGTGAGTGTGTGTGTGTGTGTGTGTGCAGCGTAGCATAGTGCTGCTCACTTCATCATGGTGAAGGCTAACATCACTGTTACACTGCTGCCTCACTAAGTCAACATCTACACCTTTGTTGTAGCACATGTGTCAGTGAATGAAGCACGAGTCCATCAGGTGAAGCTGTGACAACATCAACAAGACATGAAAACAGACCAACATCAGATGTGTGTGGTCATCAGCCAGTGTGTGCCATCTAAATTAAGACTGTAGGATCACCTTGTTGGATTTTAAATTATTTTGATGATCAGTGGAATAATATTGTTAGAATAGCCTGTTAGGTCACTGTGCACAGTCCTGTGTGTTAGAGTTATTACTCAGGTAATTACCTGGGCCCTGGTTTGTTTGTTTTTTGGTAATTTTTGATTATTGATATTATGGAATATGTGTCATTTGTGCACAGCGGCAACTCAAATTGAAGCAGTCTGACTAGATTGACTCCTCAACAAGAAAGATACGAACATCAAGATTTATTATATGAGTTCATATTTTGCTTGATTGTGCTCATTTCCGAACAAATGAACAAAAAAACAGTGAACACAGTGAAGCGGCTGCTGTCCTGAGAGCCAGGGGCCCTGGGGCCAGACGATTTAGGTCTGTTAGTGAATTCATTTTGTCCTAATGGTTTGAAACAACTTTTGTAATTTTCATTAGAAATACATTGATTACCTGTGTAGTTCCCAAATTCCCCAGAACTAAAGCTGACGTATTTTAAGTTTGTTTTGTCAGCCAGCAGACAAACACCAAAAGTCAAATTAGGTTTGATGAAAATTCAAATGATATTAAACAAAGGAGCAGCAAAAATAAAAAGCTGAATATTTACATATGATAAGCTGACACCAGCAAATGTTTTTTAGTGTTTTTGCTTGAGAGATGACACAAATATGAATCAATGGGTAAGAGTATATTACTATTTAGTATTTATATAGTGTGTTTCTAGTCTTTATGATCACTCAAAGCTTTTTACAGTTTTGTCATTCACAGATTCACACGGACATTTATACAGTGCTTTGATGTGCAGCACACATCAGTCCATGCACAGCCAGCAAAGCAATCAGGGGCAATGTCAGGCTCAGTATCTTGTCCAAGGACACTGAGGCACCCGGAATGGGGGGGGGGGGCTGAGATCAAACTGCAGACCTTTTGGTTGGAGCCGCTAATATAGCATAGTATTTGAATAATCTGTCAACGGAAGTTATTATAAGAAAGTAATAATAAAGTAATTGTATTGGATAATCAATAATGTTTTCACCAATTGTGTTCCCTTGCCATATCTTGTTGTCCATGTTGTTATTGGAAATAATCTTTGTGTTATCTTGACCTTAAAATCCACTTTATTACTCTCATTTACCATCAATGATTTTTGTAATGATACAAATGTCAGCACAGCACTTTGTTAAATTTGTTCACAGAACCATATTGATTAATGCTGTTAGTCTTGATGCGGAGGAAAGTGCACAATGATATTGTGCACCTCATGCAGACTCAGTGTCTCAGTGTTAACATTAAGACGTGTGTGTGGGCTACATTAACACCAGGCTTTGCACATGTTGTTATGACAATTGAACTGTGAAATGAATACACATGTATATCTGTATTGTTATGTTTTTGTCTTAGACTGCAGCTTACAGTAACTTTTACTTGTGATACACCTGTTTTCTAGTATTTCTCTGTATTGCTTGTTTTAAAACACAATATCACAAAATGTATTACTTCATCTAAGTAAGGATGTTCAGTTTCTATTGACATGGAGCAGAAAAAACTAAACTCCTCACAGTTGTGATGCTGGTTTTTATAAACTGTAACTCACAACACTGAAGGAACCATTTAGGCAAATTGTCAATGACTGTCTATAAAATAATATTGTATTAATATACACTGATCAGTCTCAACAGTAAAACAGGAGAATGGTGTTAATGTTCTGGCAGATCAGTGTAGTTTTGATTTGTCAAGCAATAAAGTAATAGAGACAATTTAAAAGTACAAAATATATTTTAAATCACTTTACAGATGTTTCAGAATAAGGTTCAAAACGGGCCAAGGATATAAACCAATCAGTGTTCATACAGATTGTTTTTTCCGACTTATTACACATTTGACATCTGCCTGTTTTGTTTCCTCCCCAGAGATAAACAATTTCATGAGTCTAGCGTGTGAACACAACCACCATGTGACCCTCAACACTTGAGCCAAGGATCTTCTTTACACTGAGTAGAAGTAAATAGGCATTTGTTTCCCGATGTCGAGCCGGAGGAAATCAACCACACCTTGCATGGTGCTGCCCTCTGATGTGGTGGAACAGGAAGAGGTGGAGGAGAAAACTCAGAGGACCGAGGAGGAAGAGGTGACAGAGGAGGAGGTGGAGGGGAAGGTGAAGAAGGTAGCAGAGGAGGGGCCGACTGCAGAGGAGCTGGGTCAGGCTGTTGTGGTCGTCCCCACACCACCAGAAATAGGTACTGAAGATTCATTTTGACCCAATGTCCCGTGTGGACACGACTGACCTAACACCAGTGTCACAATTAATGTTTTATTGTTATTTTTAATATTACAGATGAGCCCAGTGTCTCTACTGTAGAGGACATTGAGGTACTTGATCCCTCACTGAAACGCAGCGCTACAAACCCTCCCGAGGATCCGAGCAGTGATCAGCCGACAGAGGAGCAACAGTGTGAGACGCCCGAGGAGGGAGGAGCAGACCCTGTGTCGGTCGCTGCCATTTCTGTCAGTAAGACACCCATCATGAGGTTGAAGACCAAGTCCGAACCCAAGAGGATCGCTGTGTCCCTGAAATCGGCGGAGGAGGCAGCGGACGGCTTTGGGGGAGGCGGTGAAGGAGAGGTGGGAGGAGAGCAGGAGCCCATTGAAGCTCCTCTGGGGCCGATGACGCCTGTGGAGATGCTGCTGCATGACTCCATGAAGCTCGGAGGAGGTGGCATGCTTCTCAGCCCGCCATCAGAGCAGCATAGGAAATCATCCATTTTAAACCCTACAGTTCTGCCTGCTGGCCTGGCACAGGTAGAGAGTCTTTTGATTATTAGAGCTCTGTAAATTCATTTCAGCATCACAGGTGTAAGAATACTCCATATACCCCTTTCTCTGTAAAATGAATACATGTCATAAGACGTAACAGAGTGATCATATGCTAATTAATCCTCAACATGGACGTTAGCTGTCAGTTTAAGGTGATAAATATCCATTGTCTTCCTCAGTGAGCACTGTTGCACATTATCTGTTGTCTCTGTATTTCAAATATCCCTCCATCTCTTCCTTTGTTCCAGGTGCTGTCAGCTTTCCAGGCCCAGCAGAGTGCAGTAGCGGCAGCTGCGGCTCAGCCTCAGCTCCTGATTCCCCTCAGCAGCATCCCATCCTACAGCGCAGCCATGGACACCAACCCTCTGCTGGGCAGCACATACAAGAGGTTTCCTTACCCCTCAATGGCCGAGATCAGCAGCCTGGCAGCACAGACGCAGTTCACAGAGGAGCAGATCAAGGTAGATGAAAGTGTCAAACTAAGGATGTTGTGTTTTCCCTCGTCGGTCTCTACAGCCCCTTTTATACAGAGATCCTGTTAAGAAAACCGCATTATTTTACGTTTGTTTCCACTAAACCAAAACAAAGCCAGTATCATGCTTACCCAGTGTGTGACTGGCATCAGCCTGGTACATACACATAGTGTATGGCTGGTTCACCCTTTACACAAATTTGAATGTGTGACTTCCTCCTCTACCAGCATAAACAACATGTGCATCCTCCTGTAGCTGCAACTTATACAAACAGAACAGAGATGTGAAATAAAGGAACAACCTTCCTGCCGGGGGTTGTGTAAAAGAGGCTTTTCTTGTGATGTAACTCAAAAGGTTACAAGTGGTAGCTAATTATTCTGTGTTTTGTATTTAATAAAAAGTCACTTCGATTTCAATAAAGGATTTGAATTTAATATAGTAAATAATCCCTTTTGTCTTATTTTGTAAAAGAATTGTACTTTATCTCCACGCAGGTGTGGTTTTCTGCTCAGCGGTTGAAGCACGGTGTCAGTTGGACTCCTGAGGAGGTGGAGGAGGCCAGAAGGAAACAGTTTAACGGCACAGTGCACACGGTTCCTCAGACCATCACTGTCATACCCGCTCACCAGCTCTCAGCTGCTGCCAACGGCCTGCAGTCCATTCTTCAGACCTGCCAGATAGTGGGCCAGCCCGGCCTGGTGTTCACACAGGTAGGTAAGGAAAGAAAACGTGCCATGTCTACCAAGACTCTGGCTTTGACCTTTGAATCAGGTCTGATTTGACTTGAAACATTTGACTTTAATTGTATTTAGTTTTGAATGAAAGAATATGTGAATCAACATTTTATGCTGGACTCACATTTTTGTTGCGTTGCGTCTGACGGTGGGCTGGCCTGAGGCCTGGTGCCGGCGTTATTGTGATAATGAAAGCAATCAAAGTTTCATGCACAGGACACACAGCAAAGATTACTTGTGCGCTAACGTGCCATGTTAAATAATTGATACGATGCTAAAGAGATGTACACAGAAAATAAAAATCAGACAGACACACACCCAAAGAAACTGTTTTAATGCCACCTCACATTATACATTATAAAGATGTTCTGTACTGTATCTTGTGAACCCAGGTCTTGTATCTAATGAATGCAGAGCAAATAAGTGAACTGGAGATCGACATCTTTTTCACTTAGCAGGCTGTTCTGATAGCTGTAGTTGTTTTGGTCTCTCTGGCTCATATATTACAAATTAGAGGAAAAGCAATATTTTCAAAAAAGAACCAGGTTTATGGCCCTTTCCATTTCCAAAGTGTTTAAGGTAATAACAGATTAAATACTTCCCAGTCTGGTGATATATTTATATGTCATCCTCATATAATTTTTGGACTGTTGCAGGTCGGTCCAGGGGGGAGCCTTCCAGTGACCAGTCCAATTACGCTGACAGTAGCAGGACTGCCCAGCCAGTCCCAGAGCTCCAGCAGAGTGTCCTGCCAGCCCACCTCAACAAACAATGAGCTGAAACGAGCCACCACTGTCCAACCTCCCTCTCTTTCTCCACAGGTGAAGACAACCTTAAAACTGGCTTTCAGACAAATATTTGTTTGGTATTGTGCTCTCCTTGCTGTCAACAGACACTTGTTTAACATAAAACATCTCTCCTCCTCTCTCTAAGGAGAACTCGGCCCTCTGCGCTGACACATTCAGTATGCGGCCTAAGAAGTCCAAAGAGCAGCTGGCGGAGCTGAAAGCCAGCTACCTGAAAAACCACTTTGTCACTGATGCTGAAATCGCCAGGCTCATGAAGCTCACCAACCTGACAAAGGGAGAGATCAAGAAGTGGTTCAGCGACACCCGGTACAACCAGCGCAACTCCAAGAACAGCCACGTCATAGTTTTCCACGACGGAGGGGGCAGAGGAGGTGGCAGTTGCAGTAGCAGTGCCACCATTGTTATTGACTCGAGTGATGATAACCCCGCTTCTCCCCACCCTCCCATCACACCTCCTGTGAAGGAGAAGGAGTCACGACCCAAAACGTGGAACCCATTCCCAGACTTTACCCTGCAGAAGTTTAAAGAGAAGACACCAGAGCAGCTGGTGGTGCTGGAGGAGAGCTTTGAGAAGAGCAGCAACCCATCAGATGAAGAACTGAGCCGCCTGAGGACAGAGACGAAACTGACGAGGAGGGAGATCGACGCTTGGTTCACTGAGAGACGAAAAATGCCATCCGTCAGCACCTCCTCTCCAGATTCTTCAGAAGGAGGGAAGATGGAGACGGATGGAGCAAAAGCAGGGGAAAGAGGAGGAACGGGAGGAGCAACCTCTTCTTCACCTTCCGCCTACTCATCTCGTAAAGGTAGTCAAACGCCACCTGGAGGTCGCAGTAGGAATCTGCCCTCCACCAGCAGCAACAAGAAAGACATAAAAGATAAGAGTAAAAAGACGCCAGAGCAGCTCCACATTCTGAAAAGTGCCTTTGTGCGGACCCAGTGGCCCACACCAGAGGAGTACGGCCAGCTCGCAGAAGAGAGCGGCCTTCCTCGGTCTTACATCGTCAGCTGGTTCGGGGACTCTCGCTACTCCTGGAAGAACGGAAACCTGAAATGGTTCTTTCAGTACCAAAGTGGAAACGTAGAGGGAGCGAGCATGGGAGGAGGCACTAAAATGGGAAGCAGCGGCGGCAGAAAAAGACGCGGCCGAAACCGTGGGTGGGGTCGTTCCCGAACCAGGAAGCAGCCGAGAAGGTCCGCCTCCTCCAGTGCAGATACTGATAGATCTCCCCCTGCGAAGAAATTCAAGAGTGGGAGGGAGATCCTGAGGGAGTACTACCTGAAGCACCACTTCCTCAACGAGCAGGACCTGGATGAGCTTGTCACCAAGACCAACATGAGCTATGAACAGGTAATGTTTATTTGGATGGGAGAAAACATGGACATGTCACTCTGTTGTAATCATCAACCAGGGCCACAAAAGCTTTCTAAAAGACCAGTGTGCAAGATCTACTTTCATTGAGAATTGGCTGGGAGGAGATCGAGGATAATGTTTTAATCATTTTTATCACCTAAATGTAAGAATCAAGTTTTCATTTGCTTAGAATAAGTTCTAGAGATGGTCTTGCACCTTTTTATGTAACACGTAGGCCACCGTACCTTCTCCTTCACGCTCGGAAAAGGAAGGGTGAGGCGAGGGCTTTTCCGTTGGTTTTAGTCTTCAACCTCGCCACTAGATGTCACTAAATTTTCCTAATCCTATTTATAATTCCTGGTGCAGCAGCTGAATGAACAATTTCTATTCTCAAACTGACTTCCACAATAGTGACTCTTAAAGTGCAACGAACTGAAAAATTGAGTGATTTTATAATATAATGCAGCTTATAGGCAGTTGCTGAAGTGTGTTCATCATAGATTATATTGATCAGTCAGGAGATTGACAGTATTTTAGAAACACTGAGGTCATGACTTCATGTAACCAGCAGAACTCTAATCACATAACCACCATGACATGTTTGTATGGGAAATCTTGTCAAATGTATTATATTTAGTAAAAAAAAAAAATGTTCCTGTTTAACCTTGATTTCATTTAAACTGCTAAAACCCCAGAAATATCACTGATGACCTCATGTCCTCAATAATATCGGTACCTGCTGTTATCATTCACTCACAGTGTTTCTCTCTTGTGAAGGTGAGGGAGTGGTTTGCTGAGGTCCAGCGGCGCTTGGACGTAGGCGCAGATCCTTTCCAGGAACCGGCTGCGGAGAGGGCGGACAGAGACGAAGGAGGAGAGGAGGAGGCGCGGGGAGAGGCGTCAGCGGCCCCCGAGGACCAGACCGGCACTGGGATGGGAGATGAAGATGATGAGGAAGAAGATGAGGAGGATGATGCCGACGACACGGATGACAGTGAGGTTTGGGAACCATCGCGTAGCGTCAGGAAATCCTTGTCAGTTTCTGAAGACTAATGATTGTGGAAAGTGATGGTGAAACATTACAGAATGTTACAAGAGACACGATCAATGCTGGAGGACAGTTAGCTGAACCAAGTCTTTTTTTGCCACTGATTTCCCTGTGTACACATTAGCAACATTGATGAACTGTTTTTTCTTAATCATGTCTACATGCGACTAACAGATGGACCATAACTTTAGCTCACCCTCTCAACACTTCTCTTATTAACTGTAGGTGATGTGTCACAGCTTAGACAATAATTGTGAATACGAATACCATGAAGTGCAATCTTCAAGCTGAGCTAAAGATTAGAACTGATGGGATGAAGCAGTTGCCCAAAAAAGATGGTATATCCAGGGCCAGGCACATCCATACACCTTTCTTCAGAAGCAATTGATGAATACTGACTGTTGTTAATTCATTATTTTTGGAAGAACTGTCAGTTCCAATGTCCAGCATGCTCTAATTTAAATTTCCACTCCTTCGTTGCTTAAATGAAGCCAATAAGGGAGGTTTTATTTTTCACATTTATGCTGCATTTCCCTAAGAAGTAGTGTGGGATGCTGTTGTGAGCACAGGCCTAAATTCAAACTTCAATCCCCAGCATTATGAATGTTTTACCCATGGTCCCAAACTAACTGCACGCTGAAAAAAAACGTCTGCTATTTTTACAAAGGTGCTTAAAAACCTATCACTACTAGATGTCACTGCTGAGCAATCTCCCTAATAAATCCAGCATACATCTAATAGAGGAGCTGGTTGATTTGACATGTTACAGCATGTTTTTTTTTTTTTTAAAAGCTCCTGTGAAGATAGACCAGGATGTGTGAGTTAAATATTGGATTGATAATGACAGTGTAAATCAGGTATGTCACCTTTCTGAGCTAAAGGTCTAAATGACAGGAAAAGTACCTTAACGCTGAATGAATGCCAACGCCATGATGCTTTTAAATAACGCAGGATGTCTGCTCCAGTCTTCCCTTAAAAGTGGCTCATTTGTCATTAATATTATCGCTATAGATTTTTAACTGAGCACCTACAGATCTGATGGAGAAATTCCACAGTATGTGTTAAATATGCACTGCTATTAATGTTTTTTAACAACATTTTCACCTTTTGATAGAACTCATCCCGTGCTACGATCAATCTTTCTGAGGAGGTTGTGTAAATTCAGATAGCACGAGGCTTTTGTGCCAAAGCTGAATGTGCGGAGCAGTGAGCTACAGTTTGAAGCAGAGGCACCGTTTGTCAACTAAACGATGAGGCAGACATCTTTGTCCAGTGACATAAAAACAGAACTATCCTTGCCGCAGCATTTCGTTTGCTTGTGGTCGGATTCTGATGAATTAATGGGATGGACTGATTTTTTTTATTTTATTGGGGGATGCATGTAAATACAAGCACCAGCTGCAGCTCCAGTGTGAATTGAAAGTAAATCAATGCGCATGTTTTCCCCGTGACAAGATTGCTATCTCCACCAAATCACCGACTTTTTGCCTTTAGGTTTGGGCTCATGTTTAAAATGAGGCCTGAGAATTATTGTTAGTCCTGACCCGTACTTCAAGAAGCACTGTTTCACAGTATTTTAAATAATAATCAGACTCCAATCTGCACTGAACAGAAGAACATGAAGCACCTAAACTAAACTTTTTAAAAGATGCACTTTGTCCGCTTGTGTTCACAGTGGACTAAATCCTGATTAGGCACCTTAATCTCTTATTACACCATGAAATGGCTCTGAGAGACCAAATCTCTTTTGTATGAACTGAACCAGTATTTTGCCTTTTTTATCCTTAGTGTGTTTTCAAGGGGAGGAATATTATCAATTTGTCAACTTTTATAATAATATGTGTTATTTCATATTTGGATGTTCATACGGCTCAAAAGAATTGTCGAACAATCACCTACCACTTTGTTTCGCTAAATTGCACAATTTGAGCCCAGTTTTTAACCATCTGTCCTTTTGAAAATGTGCGTGTGTTACATTTGTTGTTATGTTTGTATTGTTGGCTTTAAATTATGGAAATTGTCTCCTATCTGTCCTTCTCTGCTCTCACATGCCCCTGTCTGATTGAACCACTTTCATCCAGGCCACTTTTGTAAAATAAATGCCTAGTTTTCATGTGCACTTCCCGAAACATGTTCCTGTAAATGTTGGCAGTGTCCTGTTGGTTTCCTGTCTCTGAAATGACAGGGCTGTAGGGACGACTGCACAAGACTGAAACCAGTCAGAAAATTCAAAAAAGGACTTTACTTGGAAAATGTAATTTCCCTCATGGAGGGAATCGTGATACCTGAAGGAACAGCACAGCATTCCCTCTGTGGTGGGAAGTCTACCAAATAACGCTCCTCTTTCCAGCTGTTTTCTTTGTGCTTTACTGCATCAAGAGGACAATGGACTGAAAACTGTCTCACCTACAGTTCTTCACACACAGGGGAGAGACTCTGATGAAGCTTTGCAGATAAACCTATGTGCCTACACGGCTCGTATACTTGTTTGAACACAATTTCACCAACTCTCGACAAAAGATGACAAAAGAATGAGTGAATTTGTCAACCAGTGAGTGACTCTTTAGCGAGGCTTGTTCAAACGAAGGTGTGATGCATGATCGAGCTCTGCTTTCTGCTGATGCTAAAAGATGCCTAAATACTCTGAAGTTGACATTGGAAACTTCTGTTTTAAGTCCTTAAACAAATAACCTTGGTGTTTTGAATTCTATTTCACTAAGCACTTGTCACATACTACCCGTTGGTTCCTTCAGCTCATTTAAATGCATTTTAATGAGTCTCTATGAAACCAATGGTGGCTCTTAGCTGTGAGCTATAGTTTGAGTATTGCAACTGGAGGGGAGCTGAAACTGCTTTGCTGTAATGTGACAAGTGCAAGTAACAAATAACAGATTCAAAATGTCAAGGCCGACCTATTGTCTAATACTGCATGCAATAACTAAGACGAACAACTGCTCCTTTTGTACATACATTATTTTGGGTTGGTATACTTGGCACAGTAGAAGCCTAATCTAGGATTACACATTGCGTAGCTTTTAAGAGACCAGTTACTTTTTAAGAATTAGTTGATCAGTACAATCACGGACCTGTTTTTTTCTCTTTTAGAAATATTTTTTAAACTGTTTTGATCATCTAAGCTTTGCTTGGGATTTTGTAGTCTCTGCAATTTTTGGCCCATTTTGAACCGTTTGAATCTTTGTACTTTGTGTGCTAATTTTGTACACATGCTACAAAAGGGCTTGTCCCAGATTAACTTCTTTTATTTCTGAGGTTAGGCTTAATTCTGTATCCAGGTATCCAGCCCACAGTCTTTTACAGTGTGCTCTTTCTTGACTATAATTTTTTATCTAAAGAAACTGTGTCATTACAACTCTGTCCAGACACCAGTGGATTGCTTGTTAACTGACTCATACAATACGTACAGCAGACTAGTGTATTTGAAATAGAATCTGTTTTAGAGTTCAACCAGTGTTGCCCGAGTGGCTTTTTGGCACTTTGGTTCCAAAAAATATAAAATCACAACTCAAAAGAAAAGACACGCTCCTAAAAGAATTGCATAGATTGCATTTTTTGTTTTTGCTCATGGGAATGTTTTTATTTGCTTGCTAATATGTCAACATTTTTAAATCAAGATACATTACATATGGCAAAAAACTATTAAAAATGTCAAGCAACTCTTTGCTTTGAGAGACACGCCACATAAAGTCCAGCTAACTCCTAAAAAACGACCCTGACATATTTATGTCATTGGGGTCATCTCAGTTTGTCTCGAAACAAGAGCAAGTCTAATAAAAGACTTAGGATCCATGTAGGATCCAGTGATTTTGGACCTTGTTGCAGACTAGATTGAAAGTCTGGACATCTCAGTTTCTGCTGCCCAGATTTGAACCATTCTTTCTGAAACCAGTGTCTCTCAATTAGCTGAACTTTATGGAAGGAGTGTCCCTTTAATCACTTAGTGTTTTGTAACAATACTGTAACATGACAGTTAATAACATGATGATATGATGTTAATGAGAAGAGTATTATTAAAGTAATACTTATAGTCAAGAATTTGTTTTCAAATATTTCCCCCAGTTCCATTGAGGTGTCTTTTCTCTGAGTTGTGATTTTATATCCGTCTCTCTTCATGTATCCCAGTAATACTTGTGCAGTAGAGCTACGAGCTTATATTGTGATCGGAGTAGTTTACCTGCTGTCCTATTATACTCATGTCATATCTGTATCCTTCGCTATACTACTGCTTCGTCCTCACTCGTTTTCTGTATTTAGACAAATAGTTGGTTGAATGTTTCTTATGCAATCAGAGATTCAAATGTTTTCACTATATAGCAGCTAGCTTTTTGGTAAAAGAAAATGCATTTTGTCAGAATTGTAATACACTGTACGTATGAATAGTTTTTTTTTTTTATTCTAATTTTATCTGCTGACAGTTTTTACCCCGTTTTATTTGCTTCTAATGGGCTTGATTTGCTTTTAACTTGTAGACTTTCCTCTTTGTTCCTGCTTCAATACAGTGTACATCTCCAGACCTGTTCAGTGAGTGATGGCAATGATCTCTCCGCTCCTGTATTAAGTAACAGTTGTTTCCATAGACACAGATACTGTAGGAAGAACCCAAAGGTCTAACTCCATGCTCTGCTTTAATAAATGGGTGTGTTAATTTAAAGACAACTGATATTTATTGTGCCATTTTCAAATGATGTCTCCCCTGACTTTAACTGATATTTAGTCCCTTTTACCAGGGTTTCTAAATAAACTGTAATTGGAGTTGTGTTAAAACCCACCATGAACTGGTTCATCTTATCCAGTACACCTGATGGATGACTTGAGGAGGGGTTTCTGGGATTGATGTACTTGAGGTGGGACTTTTTGCTGTCCGCAACCTTCATGACCAAGCTCTTCAACAAAACAGTTCATCTTGGGTTTTTTCTGTGTCTATGGAAGTGATTTTTCCATCGACACTCTGCCCACGTGTCTGAAATTTGTTAAAACACTGAGAGTGTGTGTCAGAAACTCTGATTAAACTTGATGTGCGATCGCCTCTGCAGGTTTGCTCTAGAGAGAACTTTGTGCAGTCATCCACTTGAAGCAATCAGCTGTGAGGCAAAACAGTTTGTGCAATGTTAATTTAAAATCCTGGCTGTTATTGGGGCTCTGGCTTGATTTTTAGCTTGATTAAAAAAAGAAAAAAGAAAAAAAAGATTTATATTTTATACTTGTTTGAGGACAAACCCCAATAAATTTTGATCAAATGCACTTGTGATCACTATTTTGCATGTTTTAAATGTGATGTGAAGCGCTAAGATGCAGAGCAGAAAGCACTGCATAGAGTCCTGTTAAACCCTGTGAGTCAGTCATCATTTGTGACCTTTTTTTTTAGAAATGTTGGAAAGAATCTCATTAAAAGCTCAGAGATGAATTCATCATCACTGTTAGTTATTAGCATTGATAGCATTTTTAATAAACCGTCAGTGATGCAGTGTCTGTTGTTTTATTGTCAATAAGGGAAACAGATTTGCATTAAATTAAAAAAACTCTTCTAGTCAAAACCTTCTCTTTTGAAGAAGTCAGTATGTGAGGATATATCCTGTACATCAAGATAATGTTGCATAGGTTGGATCATCAACATACTTAAGATGCAGAATCTTTTATTTCTCTTAGATGTTGGTAAATATTTGTGCAACTTAACAGAAATTTAAAAAGTAAGACAGAGCTGAAAAAGGACATGAGTGGACAGAATAATCAAATAGTAAAACGCTGTGAAACAAAATAGTTTATAAAGAGAATTTGGTTTATGTACTTGAGGATGAGTATTCTGCATTAAGTGTAGTATTACCAAGCAATAATCCTAGCTGCATGTAACTTTCATTTGACTAAAATAATTTAAAATAAAAGGAGAATTCTAATATAATCATCAGCTCATGCATTCATTTGGACGTGTGGCAGTGATGGATTTCTCCTCTGATGTGTGTATTAAGTTCAGGCCGAGTGCAGCTTCCAGATAAAGGTGAGTTCCTCTCCTACACCAGGTGTAAACATGGCTTGTATAAATGACTCAATGTGTTGTGATAGTAATATTTTTGAAGTTCGGTGTGTTCATTTGAAAGCCATGACAATGTGGCTTGATTAAAGTGAGACTTTGAAAAGAAATAAAAGAGTATAAAAATATAAAAACGTACACAGTTTTTTAAACTCAAAGTAAAAAAAGTGAATTCAGAAATATTTGAGATGTGCACAGTAATTACAGAAAATGAAATGCTATTCATGTTGAATTGATTTTCTCTGACTACATTTGTTTCCATATGCCGATACAGAACATGTAGGACAGGTCTGGGCACATGGGAGACAGACAGTTGTGTGTTTGCAGTATTAGTTTTTGGGGATGTCAGTGTCGAGTTAAATCAAAGTGAAGCAGATATTCATATGTGATGTTTTCTCTGTTGCTGAATGAGCTGCATGTTTTCATCTCGGAACCTTTCCGCCCGGAACTACTATCAGTGGACATTGCATCAGCCGTACAGTTGACAGTGAGAGACAGTGTATCCACGAGTGTGTAGACTTCTGTCCCCTGTAGTTCGGGTACTAGTCTCTGACTGTGAGTAGTAGGCTCTGCCGGGTTCTTCAGGTCCGCATGGAGATATTAGGAAGTACGTTTGACGACTCTGTGTTTTCGGAGGCGAGAGACCGAGTGTGTGCGTCTCTGTCTTCATACAACGCTAAACTGTGCGAACCAGAGGTGAGTGGGTCCAACGACAACCACCTGAACCGGGACCAGGCTAGTTAGAGCCGCGGTGAGGGAGCACCAAGGTCCGGACTCTGGGTACTGCCAGGAAGGTTTCATGACGAGTCATCTATGTAAATAAACTGTGATGTTAGCCTGCTAAAGTTAGCTCGTCAATACCAGCCTGCTAATTATTGCTTGTTAACATTCGTCTGCTAAAGTACCTGCTATCATTAGCCTGCCATGGTTAGCTCCCTCATCATTGCCAGCTAACAATAGACTGCTAGCAGCTGCTACATCCAAAAGGAGCCAGAATAATGATTTGATTATTTATAAATGTTTCGTAAAGAACGATGTGACTCATATATGGCAATATTATAAATGAGCCAATGTAACAAACGTCATGTGACGCAGTTCTTTTAATTGAATCCTGGTATTCTGGGTAATTTGTACCAAATATAATATATATATAACACTTTTCCCTAAATGAGCAAAGATACTGTCAGGGTGTAAAATCAAGATAACATTTAATCTAGCTGTAAAACATAAACTGAACAAACTGCATCAAAATGTATTTATATGTAGTTGCTATGTAAATATTAACATATTGTGGCTAATTGCTGTTTGAGTGAGTGGGTTTAATGTGTGATCATGTTAAATAAGTTGTATTGTGTCTTAAATGTTATTTGTTGAGTATGTTGGCTTAGTTTCTTTGGTTCAGTAACACTTGTTGCATGTGTGGCTTAGTTTCTTGTACAATGTGTAAAAGTCAGTGAGAAGCAGCTTCCAATCACTGTGGTATTTTCTATTGTCTCGCTCCTCTGCAGTGGTTTTGTGAGAGCGCTGCTCTCGATACAGACGATTCCCTGGAGAAACAGAAAGTTTACAAGTTCAGAGGTGACTTGGCCGTGAGACAGGGGAACTATCAGGTCAGTTTTTGTTCAATCAATCATCTCGAACCTACGACAACGTCAATCCTCCAGTTTCTCACACAGACTGAAAAGTTGATAGTGGCCAGAGTATCTGAGGATTTCAGTTAATTCTCCTTAAACATTTTGAGTTTATTCACTGCAAAACTGTTGTTATGAACCAGTCAGTGCTTCAGCTTCTGTCGTGTATCCAGAAGAGCACTGAAGGTTTTCTTCATTTTTAATTTAAGTAGTGAGCACCTTTGTTTCCTTATAACCTACCATGTTTCAGTGTAAAATATCGTAATATTGTAATCATGATGTGTGGTTATACACACACACAATGATCAGATATTAAAATATTTTATTTCTCTGTAATTTCACAGTAACAGTACCAACAAAAGCTGCTTGAAGTAAATACAATTTGGACTGGGCTCATAGTCGCTGCCATATGATAACCTTTTCTCTTGGTATCGTTCAGACAAGTTTTCCGTTGTCCACTGATGTTTGGTGTATTGTTCTGTTTGTGTTCTCATGGTGTGGTGGGTATAGAAAGCCTTGGAAGCATACAGCTGCTGCCTAGAGTGGCTCGCTGACAACAACTTGACCATCAGAAGAGATGTCCTGGAGGGAATGGCTCGATGCTGCACCAAACTGGGACAGAGAGAGAGGGCTGTGCACTTGGCTGACTTACTGGTAAGTCACCTGTGAGATTCTCTTTTAAAGTGTTTTCCATGTAGCACAGTGTGAATTCAGTCAACCTGCACCACTTTGCACACAGTCATAGATATCAGTCACCGAAATGTGTTTTTTGTTCTTTTTTAAGATCCATAAATTATTATAAATTACTTAAAATGTTGAAAACCGCCTTATCTTGCAATGTTGAAGAAACTCCTTCTGATCTGGATCTCCCCAAAATGTAATGGGTTCTTCCCTGATCTGTTCATGTAGTTTTTGCGTAATCCTGCTAAATGATAAATGAAAAAACATAGGCGGAGGTAATTATACATTTAAGACAAATGCTAGACCAAATTCCAAGTTATGAAAAAACATATTTTTCCAAGCAGCCAGTTACTTTTCATGTTAATCTCATGTTAATCATTTGGTTCTATATCATGAACGTACACTCATCTAATCTAAAGCTTCCTTAATACAGCCTTTATTTTGTCATTGACTTTAGCTTTATGAGCCAATAAAGTAAGTGCTTTTATGTGTCTCAGGAAGCTCCAATATTAAGAGTCTGCTTTCACGCAGCTGGAATGTCTAATAATTCAATATACAAGAGACATCTGCTTATTGTCGGCCCTCTGGATTAAACTGTCCACCAGTGTAGCTCAGTGTTGCAGCCTTTGTCTTCAGAGGTTGTTTGTTCATGCAGCATTGGAAATTATCATTATTATTATTAACTCTGATAAATCTGAAGTTGATCAGATGTTCTCTGAAGGTAAATTTCAGTGTTTAACAAAATATTGGTAAGAAGAAAAAGTTTGTAGTTGGTACTCATTTTTACAACATCTCTCTCCAGAGGAAAGAAGCCTCCAACACCAGTCACCTGACCAGCCTCCTGCTGCTGAAGGTCAGAACACACACACACACACACA